AAATATATATATATATATAATTAAATAAAATATATCACGTTTGCTTCTTTTTTATTTATTTTTATTTATTTTTTTAAATTTCCTAATACGGAGTAAAAAAAGTCCAACCTTAAAGTGCTTTGGTCTATGACCATGATTATAAATTAGATAAAGTAGCCTAGCTCCAATCTTAAATGCTTTGGTCTACGGTTATGATTATAAAATTAGAAAATAAAATAGCCCAACAATTTTAACAATTTTTATTTACACTATCAATTTATACATTTTAACTAAGTGACGTAACATTCAAAGAGGGCTATGTTTTTCATGCATAATTAAACATTTTAACTAAGTGACGTAACATACAAAGAGGGGTATGTTTTTCATGCATAATTAAATATTTAAATAAATAAATAAATAGATTTCCGTCTACATATTTTGTACACGCTTTTTTTCCCCTCCACGTGGTGTTTGCTTCATCTCGCCATCTTGACATCAAAATTTGTTGCCAAAAAAATAATGAAATACAAATAAATAAATATGTATATATATATATACAATATAATAAATCTATCACTTTAAAATTAAAATAAAAATAAAAGTAAAAAAACTTGTTAACATTTTCTTGTAATAAAAAAAAAAATTTATAATTAATACATGGTAAATTATTTTTAGAAAAAATTAGTAAAACATCCCTCTCTAATTTTGTGTAGTAAGAGAGATTCAAGATGTTTTTTTCCATTAGTTAAAGTCTTTCAACATTTTCACAGAGAAAATTCGCCTTAAAGAAATTTTGTCATGAAAATTGAAATTTTTGAGTCGGGCAAAATTTCTCTGAATTAAATTTTGTCTCCGAAAATGTTGAGAGACTTTACATATTATGAGACTATTGTATATCTTTTATTTTATAAAATTTTAATATCAAAAATCTTAAAAAAAAATTCCCATAATTTTATATAAATATTTCAAAAAATAATATTTTTCAGTCGCCACACCATGCCATCAAGAGGACTCTATTCTCATTCATTGCCCACCACGTTTTATAACCCCCAAGGGTGTGTTTGTTTTGACGGATTGGATAAGAGAATATTGTAATCCATTAGACTGTTAGTCCTGGGATACATTGTCCCCAGACTATTTGGTTGGACTGAATTTGTATCCTATGTTTGTTTAGTCATAGTATTAGATGTCTGGATTGAACTATGTTTAGTGAATTCAATGTTTGGCTGGACGGACTGGATGAAGATAAATGTTCAAAAGACTATTTTATCCTTGTAATTTATGTTTTCAATTAAATTAAATTTATAATTTATATTTTTTATTTAATATATAATTTTAAATTAACAATACTAAAAAAATAATTTTATTTAATATATAAATTTTATTTTTAACAGCACTAAAAAAATTTAATTTATAAGGCCATAATTTAAATTTATTAGTTTTAATTAATTTATAATTTATAATTTATATTTTTTATTTAATATATAATTCTAAATTAACAACACTAAAAAAATAATTTTTTTAATATATATATTTAATTTTTTAACAACACTAAAAAAATTATAAGGCCATAATTTTTAATTTAGTATTTTAAATTAACAACAGTAAAAAAATAATTTGTAAATATTTAAAAGACTATTTTACCCTTTTCCAATTGTTTATTAAGTAATAGTACGAGGGTAAAATAGACATTTCACATATTAGTCCATGGGATACCAATCCTATGGAAATAATCTCACCCCTCCCCTTATGATACAATAATCCCTTATATGAGGGACTAATAGTTCGGAAGGACTAATAATCCGGAGCAAAAAAATTGAACCAAACAATAAACTATTAGTCCGAATGGACTAATAGTCCAATCCTATAAAATAATCCCTCAAAACAAACCCACTCCAATTGTATAATAGATCAGGCACAAAAGTGGAACATCAATTATCACAAAAGTTCAATCATTTTGTATCAAGCTCTAGAGGTCAATAAGCAAAATAAATAAAATAAACGTTCAATCATTTTGTATCAAGCTCTAGAGGTTAATAAGCAACATAAATAAAATAAACAACATTTGGTGGCAGTAAATTTGTTTATAAAGATTGCACACTTACCATCAAGGCCATAAAATCATCATAATCATGTTAATAAATTGCAAGGAATGAATAAAAATACATTTCAAATTAAATCAGGAATATTTCACTCTATTAATATATTTTTAAAGGGTGAAAGTTTGAATTTAAAAGAATTTAAAAGATTCGTAAAGTTCATCATGAGTCCGTTCTGATAATTTGAATAATTTATTTTATAACAACTTCAATGACAACTACACACGAAGAATTTTATCGATGATCTAATCATTTAATTCTATTTTAAAAGTGTTTCATGTTTTTTAATTAATGTTATTTTAATAATTTAAATTGTTAATTTTATAAAATTTTCGAATAATATCTCGCCCTAAAATGATCCGAAAGAGGAATCGGGAATCGGAATCTTGCAACCTAATTCAAGCAAAGTCGGTTTGCTTTCCCACGGAGAGCCACTGAATTGTAGCAGTATAAAATGAATAAATCAGGATCATTCAAATTAACTTGGCGCAAATTTGATGAACCACGTGGAGCGCAAGTTGCTGTATAAATTCTGTGGTGGTATGGGTGTGTGAAGCGCAATACACACATCATGACGATAGAAAGTTCCACAGCAAGAATGGGGGTGGGGAAACTTCAGCCAACAATCCATAGCTACGTACTAGATGATGGAACTTTTTGGTCAATACCTCCCTCTATATTGATCGTGATATTGAGAGAGATGATAACAACGTCCTTCTCTCTCATCTGCTACTTCCAACGAAATTTCCCAATGGCGACTCTTTCCTTGTAGGGTCGGGGCCCCGCGGCACTCCCGTCACATATATACATATAAAAAATTCTTGAGTGCAAATAGGGATACAATGTGGCATATTACATAATCGATTATGTTAAGTAGCTTGAAATTTTCGAGCTTGAATTTGGTTCGAAATTAAAATGACGTAATTTTGGAACGGTAGTTTCGTTGTTACGAGAGGGATGTTTAATAAAAATTATCTTATCGGTAAGAGAATTTTCATATATCTTATCGGTAAGAGAATCCAAAACGACATCGTTTTGGATTTCGAGTCAATTCGAGCCAACTATTTTCGAGCTACCAAACATTTTCCTTACATAATACATTCAACTAATTATAAATACCATGGGCTCTTATATTGTCTCTCTATCATCTAATACATAAATGTAGTCCTCACTCTCTCAATCAATGAGAGAACAGAAAGGTACCACATGATACCCTTTCTATCTGCACCTAAAAATTTCTTATATATATATGAATAATGTTAGGAATCATGAAAAAATTATCATGAAAATGATCATGAAAGATTTTCTACCTTTTGATTACACATATAATAAAACATTACACACTAATTAAAGGATAAAAAAATTTCATGATGCATTTCATGTTGTTTTTTCTATAATCCCTAACATTACTCTCATATATATATATATATATATATATATTTTGTGTGCGTAAATATATTTTTTGAATACTTTTCTTGGGCTATAAGCTTACTTTTTGGACTTCTAAAAAAATTAATGCACGTTCTAAGTTTTAAAGGAAAAATTATCATTGTAATGTTTAAAAATTAATACACATTAATAAAAAAAATTATAATTATAATTATAATTATTATAATTTTTTTCTTGAACAATGATGGGTTGTTTCCCCAACTTTAAAAGTCACAAAATGTTGAACAACTCTGTTTAGTTTATGTATATATATATTTTAATTTTTAACAATCCATACAATTTCACAAGGCTCACTAAAAAGGTTTGTAAAATTAACAATTGGCCAATTATATTAAAAATTATTTAATGAAGTTATAAACTAATTTTAAAAAATTCCATTTACTAGATAATTATGTTGGAATGGTCCCATTAACAATCATCAAGATGTATGGTAAATGGTATATAGGGATGTTTTGGAAAGGTGGTTAAAAAATATTTTTTTGATTTTTTAATTTTTTTTAATTGTTTTATGTGAGAAATAATGCGACTCAAAATAAGTTAAAAGTTAATTTAACTTTTAATTCATATTCCCAAATGGGCCTATAGAATTGTAATCCGGCCGAATTTTGCAATATTTGAGCTTGGCTAGCTTGAAATTAGTCAAGCCAAAACTTAGAAATTTAAATTGATTCTTTAGAGTTATAACAATATTGCTTGTGAAAAAAATTATTTTTTCACTTAATATCTATATTATTATATTAAGCAAAGGTCTTAATTGGTGACATGAAACATTTTTTTTTTGTTTTTATCATGTGACAAATTTCAAAAATTTTAATTTAAAAAAAATTATACAAAGAACTGGTCATGACTTGAACCCATGACTATGAATTTAAGATAAGAATACTCTTATCACTTAGAAAATACTATAGTATACATCTCTCAAAAAATATATATCATATATATCTTATAATTAAAAAAACAACATAATTTTATAAGGAAAATGTTTGGTAGCTCAAAATTTTATGATTCAAATGGCTCAAATCTGATAAAACGATGTCGTTTTACACTCATTTACACTCAAAACGACGTCATTTTGAATGATTTGAGCCATTTGAGTCACGAAATTTTAAGGTACCTAGCATTGTTGATTTTATAATTTTTGAGTCATAATTAAAAAAATAAAAAAATGTCATAACCAAATATAGTATCAAGCATAATTAAAATAATATCATAACTAAAAAAAATAATACAATTAAAAATATATATGTAATGCACTTTTAATAAGCGTGTATGAAAAAATTTCCCTATCACTTATTATATATGTCATGCACTTTTAATAAGTGTGTATGATAAAATTTCCCTATCACTTATTAAACATATTGTAATTTTAATTTCTTTATTATTTTTTTTTATCCTCTCTCTCTCTCTCTCTCTCTCTCAATAATTTGTTTCCATGTCCACTATCTCACAGGGCCACCAAACATACACACCACAACACAACCACAGCCACATTCACTACCATCTCTACATACTCACATATTCACAACTTCATCTATATATTCTCCTATCTGTGCCCCAAATCTCCTCACCCATAGAAGCCATAGCAGCAAGCAACTTCCTCTTCTCCATCATCATCTTCCACATCAGTCTTCAAAACCCATATCGACCCTGCAATCGAAATATAGCGGAAAAGCTCTGGATTATATATATAGAGAGGTAAAGAGTAGAGAGAGAATCGATCGGGGGTAAAACCCAGAAGTTCAAGTTGTAGACATCATCACGGCTATACACAGAGTTTCTCGGCCCCTCTTACATGTCCGGGCTGTACGTCGCAAGGGTTGTGTAGTCGAGACCAACCCTTCGCCGCACGGTGGACGTGGCGCTTTGCCTTCTGAAGGCGGCAGCCCCTCCGACCTCCTTTTCCTCGCCGGCGGCGGTTCCTCCCTCTCCTCCATCTACTACTATTTTATTTAGGTCTATAGTAGTTTTACCCAACAATAATTCTTAAAATTCTTTATATCCTTGGTTTCTATATCTATCGTCGCTCGATCGGTTTGTTTTTCTACTTGGTGTGTGTGTGTATTGTTTTTATCTGAATTCACGATGTTGAGGATCAAGAGGGTTCCTACTGTTGTTTCCAATTACCAAAAGGATGAGTCGGAGGAAGGTGCTCGGCCTAGAGGCGGTTGCGGCCGGAATTGCCTCCAGAAGTGTTGCCTTCCAGGTATTTGATAAATTGCATATGTACCGAAATTTGAGTTAATTTATAGTTTTTATGTATTGATGTGTGGCATAGAAGTTCTGGGTTTTAACTAAATTGGGTTCAAATTAGAGGCGAAGCTACCTCTTTATGCTTTCAAGAAGGTGAATGAGATTGTTGGTGAAAAGGGTCTTCATGCCCACGAGAACAAAGAGCCTCCCGTTGCTTTCTTGGATTCCCTTCTTCTCGGGGAGGTAAAATTTTCAATTTTTTAGATGCATTTTATTTTTTTGGATATTTTCCAATCATAATGAGCTAATGTTTATCACTTGATGACAGTGGGAGGATCGGATGCAGAAAGGGCTTTTTCGCTATGACGTCACTGCTTGCGAAACCAAGGTCTTTGGCATTTCCTTTTTCTTCGATTGGATAGTTTTAAGCTAATTATTTGAGTATTGAATCTGCTGAATGGAGTACTCTGCCAAATTGTTATGTGGTCCATCCTGATTTATATGATGATTTTGGTATAGGTAATTCCAGGAAGGTATGGCTTCATTGCACAGCTGAATGAGGGTCGACACCTTAAGAAGAGGCCGACTGAGTTTCAAGTTGATAAGGTCTTGCAGCCCTTTGATGGGAACAAATTCAACTTCACTAAAGTTGGACAGGAAGAGGTGCTTTTCCAGTTTGAAGCAAGTGAAGACAATGATGTCCAGTTCTTCCCGAATGCACCCATTGATGTTGAGAATTCTCCGAGTGTTGTGGCCATCAATGTATATCCTCCTTCCTTGCTTTTCATATTAAGATTGTATATAGATGAATTTTTAGCTAAGAATCTAAGATGGTTTCTGTTAATCATGCTTCAACAGGTTAGTCCTATTGAGTATGGTCATGTACTTTTGATCCCTAGGATTCTTGAATGCCTTCCTCAGAGGATTGACAAGGATAGCTTCTTGCTTGCTCTTTACATGGCAGTAGAAGCTGGAAACCCGTACTTCCGATTAGGTTACAACAGCTTGGGTGCATTTGCTACCATCAACCACCTTCATTTCCAGGTTCCTACATCCCTCCTTTTCATATTCTCATATTCATTAAAACAGTTCTATGATCATATCTCTTAAATTAGTTAGCCTTTCTGTTTTTAGTGAAAGATGGTTCGATGATTTTGTATGGCTACAGGCTTATTACTTGGCTGTGCCCTTTCCTATCGAGAAGGCTCCCACTGTGAACATAACTGATTTGAATGGAGGGGTGAAAACCTCTGAGCTGTTGAATTATCCAATCAGAGGTCTTGTGTTTGAGGGTGGAAATACTCTTGAAGATTTGTCCAATGCTGTCTCTAATTCGTGCATTTGCCTTCAAGAAAACAACATACCTTACAATGTGCTTATCTCTGATTCTGGAAAACGGATCTTTCTCTTCCCACAGGTGAGAGCATTAAAACCCATATTGCTTTTGTGTGATTTTCTTGCTTTTTAATTTGCTTATGAGCTCGTTTTTCATGTTCCTTCAATTTTAGTTGCCTAACCTCGTGTTTTAAATGTTTGTTGAATGAACAAATAGTGTTACGCTGAGAAGCAGGCTCTTGGAGAAGTGAGTTCTGAGCTTCTGGACACCCAAGTAAACCCGGCAGTGTGGGAAATTAGTGGACACATGGTTTTGAAGAGGAAGAAGGACTATGAGGAGGCGTCTGAAGAAAATGCTTGGAGACTCCTTGCCGAGGTCTCCCTTTCTAAGGAGAGGTTTGAAGAAGTAAAGGCTTTGATCTTTGAAGCTATCTCTTGTGGTGATGAAGGAAGTGGAAGTGTTGCTCAGAGCTTGCTTGAGGAGCCCGATGACACACCTCAATCTCTTGAAAAAGCAGATGCCCTTAACAAAAGCTCCCGCCATGCTATGGTGCCTGGGAAGCAAGAATGCCTAGTTCTGCAGTGACAATTGGGCATTTCTATGAACTTGTCAGTGGTCTGTGTGTATTACTTAATTAAATATGGTAGTATGCTACTGGAGTTTGTCTGTTCATGTGAAATATCCCTAAATAAGGCAAACTAGGTTTGCATTGTTGTTGAAGTTGCTTCTGGTCAGCCGATCAGCGATGGTATTATGTTTATTTCCCTTGTGGGCATGTGTAGAATACCATGTGGATTTTGCTCTCATAAGCTATTGAATGCATGTTTGAAGTTTCATTCAGATTGTCTTGCCTATATTTTTTGTGATTGGTTTTGTGTTCGTAAAATTTATTAAATTTCTTAGTATTTGTTGGCTTTATGGCTTTTGAAAGTTAATAAGGTAATTTTAAACATATCAGTAAAGATCAATTAGTCCTTATAGAATATTAATTGATAATCAATTATCAGACGATTGTTTTAGTTCTTCCAGCCTCAATGAAGAGGACTTTTATTATTGGCTTGTTTAGGAGAATTTAGTAAATAACAAGTAAAGAACAATTTTAGAATATGAATTTCATTAAGTAAATGAAAACTTACAATGATATGACCTAACTTCGTAGAGGTTTACAGCAACAAACTATTTGAAACTATTTGAAACTACTCCTAGGAAATGAAGTGCAGTACAAGAATTGAAGTATAAAAATGTAAATAACTGTAAAAACTAGAAGGAAAAAATGTAGATGTAAATAAACTAGTTTTTTTTATCTGAATCTGTGTCTTTCAGTCTGGGGCCTTCTTTGCTATTTATACTTTCCAATGATAACCGTTGAAGTGGGCTTCTAACAGTCGAAATGTCCTTCTATGATTGCTGAACATGTTCTCTCATAGTCAATCCCACTATGCCACTCTTGCAATTAGGCTGCTCTCCTAATTTTGAATTTAAACTTTGTGAGTAACCGTTAGGCCACATCACCTTGTATCCCTCGATTGTTCCAGTGCTATGCAAATTTATTATTACTAATACAGACTGACATGTGCCTGACTTTGGTTGGCAACTTGTATTAACTCCTTAAATTGCCCTCTTCGTGCCACATGTTGAATTGTGATTGGCTTTTACAAATTATACAGTTTCCCGCACTAATATACCCAATACTTGGTGATATTAGTGGATCAAGGCACTTTATCCATGTCCTAGGACGTGCATGGACTTTGCATCTTTTTAAAAATGCAACCGACGTCCATCATTGCAGTATTTGTACTGCATTAAATTCTCTTTGTATGCCTTGAACATCTCCCACTATCTGAGCATTCGAAAAGGTTGATACAGTTCTCATGGCTAAGCAAACATTTTCTTACATAGATCAAGCATACGAAGAGTTATTAGATAATAATGTTCATCCTCAAAAGAACTTTCATGCATTTATTAGCCACACCAATCCACCTCCATTTACTCAAGTCATAGAAGCTTTTGCAAATCTTCGACCTTTGGACTAAGAACCTACTGTTCACAATTCTTTAGACCAAGATTTTGTAACAATGGATATTGGAAGCTCTTCTTCTGCCACAAAACCTTCTGCATAGGATGAGGCTGCTACTTCTTCTTATTCTCCTAAAGCTTCTGGTTGGGGAGCTTGGCCTACTCCTATTCAACCTCAGACGAGGGAACGCATTCATCATCGATTTCCTGAATTCGATGACCCTCTTGCAATCAACCATTCCATGCGTAGTTTTGTAGTGTACCCATACGTTTCCTTCAACCGTCTACGCAGTCTTGAGGACAACTTGCTTTCAGCATGGTGCACTTTTACTTTGCCGTCTCGAATGGTGCGAAGGACTCCACACCCTGATAAAGCCTTAGGAATCAGTCTTGCACTCCTAGCCAAAAAAGAAAAACTTTGCTTCTCTGATTGGCTTGAAGGTGTGAACAAACCTGAATTCCCATCTTCATTCAGAGAGGCTCTCACTGCTCATTTGCTGCCCTCCAATCCAAATTGAATTGAGGAATTGAGGCTCACCCTCTTCGAGAGTCAATACTTCGCTCCTTATCAAGCTCTAGTTCCTCCAACTACTTACTAGCAATATAGGGCTCAGACCTTGCTTGCCACTTTCTTTGGCTCACCCTCTTTGCCTTCTTTCTCATAGACAAAGTCTGTCCATAAGACTTCTTCCTCTTGTATTTCTTGGACTTTTGTTTCGATGTCCAATGCACAGTATTTATCAAAGGTCAAAGACCTGACCTGTCGTTGTTCCTACTTACAGCCAACTACCATGGCTTGTTTCTTTTGTTCTTGAACCTTCTGGAGTACCAATTTTATGTCCAATATTGAAAACTTAACTAAAGCCAATGGTCTGGCTTCTTCGGTTTCATCTTTTTGCCTATAACCAGGCATCATTATCTTCCTTGATGACAAATTCTTCATCAGCACTTTCCTACACCAAGTGCTTCAGGCGTGTTACTTCCTCATCAGTTGTCACTTCGACTGAACCATCAGGTTTTCTCAATATACTAAGTGGTGTTACTCCTTTAGTATATAACTTGGCCTTTGCAAAGTCAGCACAAGCGATAAAGGGTTGAGAGTCTGCATTGATCTCCTTTGTCTCTTCATTGCATAAGGCCATCATTATCTTCTGATATAAAGAGGAAGGTACACATTTGTTGGTGTGGATCCAATCCTTGCCAAGTAAAGCATTATACTTGGCATTAATATCTATAACAAAGAATGCTGTCATGCAATCTCTGGTTTCCACACTCAGGTTGATCGGCAAGATACCCTAAGCTATCTGTTTATCCCCAACGAAGCCAGCAATGGTTGTGCTGGTTGGGATTAATCTGAGGTTTCTTTTTCCCAGTTTCTTTAAAGAGGACTTCGAAAGCAGGTTCATTGCTGCCCCATTATCCACCAATACCCTGTTCATTTGTATCCCATCGAAAAAAACCTTGATATACAAGGGCTTAACGTGCTATGTCATGGAAGTTGTAGGATACTCAAAGGGATATGAGAGATTAATACTCACTTCCTCACTCTCATCTTCAGTTTCCATTGGTGTGGTCACTTCAGACTCGTCTTGAACCATGCTAACCTGTGAATCTTTACTAGAAACTAGAATAGGGTCAATTTCCTGACCTTCTTGGTTTCCATCTTCAGCCTGGAACTCCTGTGGCAATATATACACCATATTCATTGACATTAGAGGAAATGAGCCAAACTGAACTATTGGTTGCCCTTATTTCTTTTCCAGGCTAACTTGTTCAGTTATTTCAGAAGCATCTTCCACGCTGCATTCTGGTACTTCAGTACTAGTGACTTCCTTCAAATGGTCTGCTCCTGCTGGTTTTTCGACCAAAAATATCTGTTCAGCCATGAAGGCTTCAAACATCTCATCCTCAGCCATTTCTTTCTTTTGGCCTAGTTCAACTTCTCCTTCTGTCTCACTGTCGCTTTCCATCAAGGCCTTTTCAAGACTTACTAAGTTGGATCTTTCCCTGACTTTCAGTTCAGTGTGAACTTTAGCCAACTGCTTTTTGCTGACACTTCTTTTGTTCTGAGGAGCCAATTTTGGACTAGGATCCAATTTTGGACTTTCTTTTCTCTCTGTCTGGCCTTTTGACTAGGCCAATGAAGAACTCTCTCCACTTTCCTTCAGATCCTTTTGGTATTGAGTGTACCTTCACTGGTTCTTCCTCCTTTGAGACCTAGAGATTACTGGAACCATATTCGGTTCCTTTGTTTTTGGGTGCTTTAATAATACCCAATTATTTTGAGCCATCAAGGAAGGTTTAATCATTCTGCCCTGGTCTCCAAAGACACTCCTCTGGGTAGGCATTTCCTTAGGCTTGTTCTATATGACAAACCAATTTGAAACCCCAGGTACCCATGAACTCACTAGTTCAGTTGCTGAACTAGCTCTTTCTACATTCGAAGCCAGCTTCAAAGCTGCTTGTGGAGGCCACTGCTTGGCCCTGATCCCCAGTCTTGAGCCTAATTCAGGCCTCCTGTCAGGGTGGTTACCTTCCATCTTGTTTGAGGCTGATCTTAGAGGCCAATTTTTGGCTCTAATTCTATAACTTGAGCTCACTTCAGACCTCCTCTCAAGATAATTGCCTTCCATCTTATAGTAGTTGTGTGGTCTGAACTCATGCAAAGGTCTCTTACCCTTGGGATGCACTCTAGCAGCTGGTGGTCCAACCAAGAATGGCTGCTGTCTAGGACCAGTTAGGTATGGCTTCTTGTTGTAGGTACTGGTTAGTTTAGGGCATTACTGCACATCCTTGTAATACTGTTTCCCATCAATTGGGAGACCTTTCAACCATTTATAACTTAACCTGCATCTGGGACACATCCTTTGCATGACAGCTGCCTCTAGAGAGTCATCATCCAGCACCTCCTCACTAGAGTCCTCCTTTTGGTCCGCAAAACTCCGTCCATTTGCTGGTGAACTTCTAGTATCTTTTTTGAAAGCAGTCTGGCTGGCAATATGCATATGCACATTAACCTCCTCCAATTCCTTCAAGGATAAGTTTTGGAAATCTGGCACACCAACATTGGCTGCAACTTCCCCAATCTCCGGGAATGGGTTAGTGTCAATCCTTATAGCTTTCTCTGCTTTGGTTGGGAACTTTAAAATTCCCTTTCGAATCAGCTCTCGGATCCTGTCGCGAAAAACAATACAGTTTTTAGTTGAATAAAACCAAGAATTGTGCCATTTACAATACATCTTCCCTTTAAGTTCTTCTGGGGTAGAGATCTTAACTCCCTTTGGTAACTTTAGAAAATTTGTTGCAAGCAAATGATCAAAAATATCATCTACTTTAAATCAAAAGAATACTTCCTATGAATGTCTTTCTTTTTGAATTGCTGGTCTATTGTAGTGTCCTTATGAATTAATGCCTCACAAGTCATAGGCTCTTTCCCATGATCTCTGTTGCATCAATTTCATAATTAGGGTCCCTATAATAAGTCTTATATGATACATTACTTCGATCCTATCACGTCCCAACCCCCGCCCCACGGGATTAAAGACGTAACCGGCTAGTAATCTGCAATTACTAAAGGCCTACTGAATAATAAATAGTAAGGGACTAGTGGAAGCCAATAAAATCACAAACCATCATTCAATGAGCTGTGAACTAAAATGAATAAACACACCTTATATACATCATTGTACAATCATCCCATACCTTATCACATCATATACATGTACTAAAAGCAAACACATTACCCAAACAAGCATAAGACCAAAAGCACTTTGCTACAAGTCACTTGATCACTTTACAAAAGGGTAAATTCATATTCACCCAAA